TTGTTTTTTATCAGGTGCCTTCCCTTGCACTTGATTGAAGTGAATATGTACGAAGCTGCTTCTCCTCGTCTGTTTGCTCATGCAAGTTAGCTCTTTGTGTATTGAGCCTTCAAAACCTCCTGCATTTTTGTTTGTCGTTTGTGTTAGAGATAGAGATAGACTTCTGTTCTTGTACGTTTATATCCTAGTTTAGTGCAGCTTTAGTTTTCGTGGGCTGGGTGTTACACCATTATCCCAACCCAACCTTACTCAAGTGTGATCAACTGAAATCTAGTTAAGGAAGACCCTCGATACCCTACGTATCCTGTCCAACCCATTCCTGATGTGCTAAGGACTCTTGACCACCACCATTAATCAATCTCTCCCAGCTCAAGTTCTTACGCTTTACTACCCTCTCTCCTCCCTTTATTGCCATTGCGATTTCCTACTACCATGCCATGCCACGCCACGCCATCACATGCCATGCCGCACCATACCCCACCACAACACACCATGGCATACCATGCCATGTCTTCTGTGCCACAGGGACCTGAGTCGCAACCAACTCTCTGGATCCGTGCCTTCATCTCTCTCCTTCCCCACCAAACTCACCAACCTGTTAGCCCACTACCTTTTCCCCTTCTTGTGACCTTGTCACCCTTTCGTGATTAATCCTGCCCTAACAAGGCACCTCATTTGTGAGTATGTGTATCCTCTTTGTATTCTCTTTATTCCTCGTGGGATGCCCTTTAGAAATCCTATTCTAATTCTATTCCTCTCTAATTTCTCTTTGGTTTCCCTTTGTCTCCTCCTTGAATCCTGCTTGCATCCTCTTTCAAAGAGGGTCTCTGCTTGAACTGCGTCCAATCCAAGCTAATGTCGCATTCACATACATCTCTCTTTAGATAGTGAGCAGAGCCACATGAAAGCTGAGAGGGATCGCTGGAGTATGGGTGCTTGGGGGGTGCGCGGACCACTGCTGCACTCTGTGTTTGACTTGCCGCTTCCCTTCAACTTCACTTGCAGTCGTTTGCAAGCACCTACATCTACTTTGTCTGTTTGCTCATGCTATTTGTCTCTTGTACTGTGCCGTCAAAATCTCCCACATTTTTGTTTGACATTTACTCTTCTTGTTACCATTAATTATGTAACTATCTGCTGCCATGCCATGTCACAATGCACACCACACCGCACCACACCACATCATTCCCTGATTTGCCACAGGGACCTGAGCCACAACCAACTGTCTGAATCCATGCCTACATCCCTTTCACTCCTAACCAAACTCACCAAACTGTAAAACCGCTAGATTTCCCTGGTCATGTGACATCTTCACCATTTCCTGGTGATCTATGTTCTCATGCTCTCATCTCCTCGTATGTTAATGTCCTCATGTGTTCAGTCCACTGTACATCTTCCTCCATTCATCCCCACTATCTCTCCCAGGTTTTGCAGACTCAAATATGTAAACCGAATGCCCTCTCCCTCGTCTTCTGTCCCTCTCCCTCGTTCCTCACAGGAACCTGAGCTTCAACCGTCTGTCGGGCACCTTCGTTCCATCTCTCAGCACCCTCACCTCCCTTGAAGTGATGTATGCTCTCTCCTCATGGCACTCCCAGCAGCACCATCCCTCTCATGTGTCCCTGTGGTGGAAGGCACTGGATTGTATTCCCTGCTGCGTACTATCCTATGCACAACAAAAATAACAGTCGCAACATGCCTCTCACCGAATGAGCGTGCTTTTATCTTCATTCATTTCGCCTCTTCTCGTGCCCCCCCTGTCAACTTTCTGTCACTTGTACCATAGCCGTTTCTCCCTTATTTTTCTCTCAGTCTCTCTGTTGTTTCTCCCTTCTAGTTAAGTTGCTGTCAGATTGCAAGCATTTGATTCTCCTCGTCTGTTTTACTATAAACTTGCTGCATCCTTTTGCCCTTTAATCCCTCTGTTACCAATATCACTGCCGTGCCATGCCATGCCATTCCACACTGAACCACACCATACCACACCACGCCATGCCTGCTGTGTCACAGGGACCTGAGTCGCAACCAATTGTCTGGATCCATGCCTTCCTCCCTCTCCCTTCTCACCAGACTCACCAAACTGTTAGCCCACTATCCTTCTCTAATCTGTGATGTTTTCATCCTTTTGTGTTAATCCATGTTCTCATGCCCTCGTGTCCTCGTCTGTTAATGTCCTCATGTGTTGAGACCACTGTACATCTTCCTCTTTCCGTCTCCTCTGACTCTGCCATAATCCACAGACTCGAATAAGCAAACTTCTGGATGCGCCCTCCTACCAGGCTAACCCTCGCCCACGCATACCTTCCCACCAACCCCTCTCCTGCATCAATTCCTCCTTCTCTCCATCCTCTCTCCCCTCTCTCCCTCTCCCTCTCTCCGGACAGGAACCTGAGCTTCAATCGTCTGTCGGGCACGCTCGCTCCTTCCATCAACACCCTCACTGCACTTGAGGAGCTGTAAGCTCTCCGTTTACTGTGCTCCCATTGCTGCATTGCTCTCTCTTTTCTGCACTTCGCTGCACTGATCCCCCTCACGTGCTCTCTCTCCCCTGCACTTTCAGCAGCACCATCTCATCTGTCCCTGTGGTAGAAACCACTGAATGGCTTTCTCGTGCACATGGAAAAAATTATTCGCAACATGTCTCTCATCATGCAATCGCGTTTCTATTTTAATGCATTCTGCCTCTTCTCGCATCCCACTCTGTCAACCTGCTGTCCCTCCTTCATTGCCCCTTCACTCAGATTTGTTTCTCAGACTCTCCATCTCTCCATCTCCCTGTATCTTTGCTTCTTTCTCCAGATCTCTTTCCAACAATGTTCTCACGGGTTCCGTTCCAGCAGAAGTGTTTGAGTCGATTGGCAGCCTGCAGAAGCTGTAGGCATCCCACCACTTCCATTCACCCTCCTCCATCCCACCGCTTCCATCCACCCACCTCCATCCCACCGCTTCCATCCACCCACCTCCATCCCACCGTTTGCATCCCACATACACAGTGATTCTGAGAAAAAAACTCACACACATGAAAAACCGAGCAAGCAAGTGACCTGTAGAATACATGTTTGTTGCAAAGCTTACGGCGCAAAATGTTGTATGGGGACGCACGCCGTGCTGTGGAGTAAAGTGAAAAATGCACAAGCATGGTCGCATGCAGTTGCACATGAGCCTCTCCCACACTACTGACTGCAGTACAGTATGAGCAAAAGTCAGGCCGCGGGCTGGCCTGGCCCCAAATTTTGGACGAGCCAGGCCGACTCTTTCAGATTTTCGGCCCTTGTCAGTCTGGCCCAGCCCAGCCCGGCGGGCCGCCGACTGCCCCTCTTTTCTGGGATCAGGCGGGCCATATAGCCAACGCACGAGTATCGCCTTTTACACACGATCTATCAAACATATAGAAAGGCACTTCAACAAGAGACCGCGGGATTCGTTTTGGTCGAAAACAGCAAAAATGCTCTCAACGCATGTTCATTTGACTACCAGCCAGGCCGGGCTGACTCGGGCCATGTTCTGCCCTGGTCGGGCCACCCGCATTTGGTCGGCCTGACCCGAGCTGCCCCGGTTCCAGCCTGTGGTTACGCGTAGACTGCACTGCAGTCTCACACATATGCATGTGCTGTACACTCCCACACGTGTTCATATGTCTACCTCCACATGTACATGTGCATGCATGACCTCATGTGTGCATGTGCATACTCCCCGTTGTCCATACGGTTGGGCAAGTACCAAACTCGAACTGGATCGGGTCGAACTGGGTCAAACTTGCCCCGGTTCAACCTGAACCGGTTCGGGTCACGTCGAACCAGGATCATGGGGTAAGGAGTTTGAGGTTCGCCTAATGTGGCTGAACCTTTGCCAGTTCGGGTCAAACCGTACGTGGAATTCCAGATCTGCACAAATCGATGCGCAAAATTCCAGATTCGTGTGGATCTTAGCATCAAATCTGCTAGATTCCTTGTCCTACATGCACCAATTGTCCATGTATGTTGACCCGAGCACTCCAAATCGAACTGATCTGAATGGTTGGATTTGAAGGCTGTGCGGGTTCGAGTCTAACTTCTTCAACGAGAAGATAAGAAGTTTAGCTTGAATTGAACAACACGTTGGAGTCAAACTAAACTGCAGCTCGGTATTTCTGTCAACCCTATATATGTGCACATGTGCATGCAGCATACATGCAAAAGTGAAAGGTGGTGCTCATCCAGGTGCTTTCATGTACAGCTTCCTTTCCCGGTTCATTATTCTGCTCTTGATCTCCCAATCCCAATCTCTTTCACCCTCTCTGTCCCACGCATTCCCTTTTGGCTCTTGCTCTTTTCCTTCCTCACATCTTTCTTTCGCCACTCTCCCTTGCCTGATCTGCATGTGCAAGGCAGGGACTTGGGCTACAACCAGCTATGGGGAACCGTGCCTGCATGGATCACAACCTTGGATGCTCTCACCAACCTGTACACCCATTGCTCATTCGCTGCTGCTTCGTGTCCCCATTCACATGTGCTCTTTCCTTAACAGTACGCCAAGCCATGCTGCTCCATACGTCATGCCATACGCCATGCCGTGTCACAGCTTATGATACCATATGCCATGTCATGACATGCCAAGTGCAAACGAGCAGCGCCTTCTTTCCATATTTTTGCCATGTAATGCCTTTTTTTCATGTCTGTTGCTACGCATACGTACCCTCCTCTCCCACCCAGCGTCTTCCGATACATCCCTTTCATTTAACCTAGTTCTCCACCCCATCCAACCCAATTAATCTCTGCCTTGGCTCCCAGCGATCTGAGCCACAACGACCTGTCCGGCCCCCTCCCAACCAGCATAGGCAGCATGACTGACCTCAAGGCCCTGTAAGTGCTGCATTGCACCACTTCTCTCGGAGAAGAGATGGGCCACTGCTGGTGGAATGGAAATGGTGGAGCAGTTTCACCACCTGCTACATACATTGTAGGGTCCACGCTAAGACAGAGAGTCTTTTTTGAGACTGTCTTCCTGGAGCCGTGGCTGCGATGAGCTTAAGAAAGGGTGGGATAGTGTCGGGTGGGTGGCAATCAGATGGGGGTGAAGATGAGGATGGACCAGCGCTGCTCTGGGTAAGCTGCCACGCCGAGCAAGTCCTTTCACTCTGGCCACATTCCCAGTGTCATCAGGAATGTGTTGCAGCAGAGATGGCGAATAAATTCTTTTGCGGTCAATCCTTTATTTCCAACTCCTTTCCTGTAAATCCTCCTCGATTAAAACTCCCTTGCCTTCTCCCTTCTCGGTCCTCCTCCCTTCCTCCTTTCCTTCGTCACCTCACTTACCTCCCATCTTCCCCCTCCCTCCTTCCTGCCACCTCGTTTACCACAGCAATCTGAGTGCCAACGAGTTAACCGGCTCCATACCCACTGAGTACTCCAATCTCGCCAACCTCGAAGTGATGTCAGTACCCCACCAACCCTCCCTCGTGCCCAGTTGATGCCCCATGCACCTGCTCTACTTCTCTCCTTTTCGCCTTCTCATTCCCCCACGCTCACTAGCCCCCCTCTGCTTACCAACTTCAACATGCTCTTTCCACAATACGGCCCCTCTCCCCTCGTTCCCCTCATTGCCTTGTCCTGTGCTTCCTTGCTCTCCATCTCAATTCCCTGTCCCTACACACCCCTCCCCCACCGACTCATCCCGCTTCAACCCACCCACTCCCACCCTCTCCCCAGCCCCTCCCACCCGCCTGTTTTCCCTGTGTATTTCCCACACCCTTCTTCCGTTTCAGCTATATTTTTTCGTTGTAAGAATTATTAATACTGTATGTGTGTTTGACATTGGTCCCGCCCACATTGTCCCTCTTCCAGATGGATCTTATCCTACTCCCCATTCCATCCTCATTCCCCCCACCGCCCAACTCCCCCATGTGTGGGCTTGCTCTCTCACTCTGCACCTCCGCAGCAACCTCTGCTGCAACCAGATCAACGGCACCCTACCCACTCTTCTTGGAGGCCTATTAAAGCTGGAATCCATGTGAGTGATCTGCCAAGCCGAGCCATCTGAGACATAGGATATACATGCAGGTGCACACACAACATCGTCTTTCTTTTGAAGATTCTGTGCTGGACATGGGCTTCTGAAGCTTGACGTGTTGAAGATAAGTACGGGAAGTTTGCACAGACAAAACACTTGCTTCACATTCAGTCAGAAACAAGTCATGTCAAGGCGCCGTACACGTGGAGCTGAAAGGGTAGCTAGTTGGTTCTTGTTAGGAACACAGTCGCCGACAGGATTAAAACCGGAGTACCAGATCCCCCTAATCTGGCTCTTCCCTAAGTTGGAATATATCAAAGCATATATACGTGTAGGGTAGCATATATTTGCTAGCATGTGCATGATACACGCTTATGGCTCAGATTGGCATACGCTGTTTTGGGCATGGAAAATAATCCCGGGCAGGGTGGAAAAAATTGTACTCCCTAGTCTCATTAAGACGTGGGTGGGGTGGGAGGTGGAGTAGACAGTATTACCAGGGAGAATTAGGGCAACACTACACGTCATTATACTTTCTGCTACTCCTGCTGTAGATTCTGCCCCTTGCTAAAGTGTTGCCCACTAATACCATGCAAGAACCACCAACCACAGCAGTATTGCACTGACTGTAACGAGACCGCTTTCTCGATTTCCACCTTGTTTCCACTTACCAGTCAAAATGTTTGTCTGCCATTGCTACATGCTTCAAAACACCACATCACTGCCCCCTACCTCTCCTATCATCACTCCCATCCCTCCCCTCCCACGCCACCTCTCTATTTTCACCCTCTCCTCTCTCCCCCTTCAGTGACCTGAGCAACAACCGTCTGCATGGAACCATCCCCACTCAGTACACCGGCCTTGTCCGCCTCACTCTCCTGTGCGTCTGCCCCAATGGGCTCCTGGCATCTCCATCCACCTTCTCCCCCCCGCCCTCAATGCCTACTAATGCATCTGATGCGCTTCAATCCTGCTACGAAACAAGGATTTTCTGCACGTTACAAAAGGATTTGCAGCTCCTAACAGCTCACTTGCGAAATTATGATGCATCCCAAGGCTCCATAAAAGACCTTCTCTCTCGCCTCACTCACAGCGCAAGTGTCTGTCTGGAGTCTGCACCTCAATCCCAGTGCACCTGGCCTCGTCTTGTCTGCCGCACTTCCCCGATGTGTCCTCACCTATCATCCCCTACCACCACTCCGCCTGCCCGAAGTTTGCAAGTCCTTTGAGTCAAGTATGACCCTCTCGGATTGACTTCTGAGCTGCGCCCTTCCTTCCCCACCCCCTCCATCCACCCCCCCCCCCCCCCCCCCCCCCCCTTCCTTCTCTCCTCTTCCCTCCTCCCAGCAACCTGCGCAACAACCAGTTGACAGGCCCCGTACTGGAGCCCATCCCATCAAACCTCACCGTCTACAATCTCGACAACAATTACCTCTCCTCAGGCTTCTCCTCCCCGCCCAACTGCTTCCAAGGCGTCATCTCCTTCCGCTTCAACTGCCTCGAAACCCCCAC